AGCAAGAGGTGAAAAGCTCAGAGACAGAGACCCTCCCCCTCCACGCTCAGCACAAAAGGGAGATGACAGGACACCTCCTCCTCCCTGCCCACCAGGCTTTCGGCACCTCCCCCTCTCCCAACCCTCCACCACTGGCACAGGCATGTCCCTCACTCTGGGACTCTTTGCCCTGACTTCTATACACCAAGCCTCACCCAACCACAGGACCTTTGTTCCAGCTGTGCTCTCCTGCTCTCACACATTTACATGGTTCTCTCCCTCCTGTCTTTCAAGACTTGCATCAGAGACTCCCTCCTAACCCCCCGACTGTCCACTGTCCTTGACCCCAATCCCATGTCTCCCTGGTTTTCCTGGCTGGGCTGGCTTTGAACCATGATCCTCAGAGCTCAGCCTCCTGAGTAGCCAGGATTCTAGGTGTGGCCCTGCTTACTATGTTTTGTCTACTGTTCCCCACTGCTAGAAGACAGGATCCTCAGTGGGTGTTCCATACATCTAGCAACAGGAGGAATGAATGAAAGGGAGATTCGCACATGGTTAGCACATGGTCCAACTGGAAATGAACTCCATCGCGATGCAGCTTGGGCTCCTGCCAGCACACAACGTTGCAGCAGAAGCCAGGCCAGAAGCTGGGCACCAGTGGCTCACGCCTGTAATCCTCACTACTCAGGAGGCTGAGATTTGAGGATTATAGCTCAAAGCCGACCCAGGCAGAAAGTCCATGGGCCTCTTATCTCCAATTAACCACCAAAATGCTGGAAATGGAGCTGTGGCCCAAGTGGTAGAGAGCCTTGAGCAAAAAAAGCTGAGGAGGAGGAGGAAGACGAGGAGGAGGAGGAGGAAAAGAGGCTGCGATTCCACTAAGAGGTCCTGGGAGGACACATTTGTCTGTGTGTCCCGGGACGCCTGGCCCTGAGCCATGTCCCCCGTGGAGCATTCGCCCACAGAGGTGCGGGCGAGGGGCCGTGTTCTGCTGACTCCCACGAATCGGTGGAGCAGCCTGGCACAGCAGCCTGGGTGTGACTGAGGGGACATTCGGAACAGGCCCATCTCTTCCCTTCCGGCGGGAGCAGAGCAGACGTAGCTGACCCCCTGGTGTGTGGGTGTCCAGTCCTTGGCAGGCCCAGGCCGCAGGACAGCTGTGCCCTTGGCAGGGAGGGGAGGCAGGTGGACAGGCGCGCCCGGGCAGGGCTGCCAGCTCCCGTCCCGTCACCAAGCTCTGGATTCTTGGCTCTTACTCATGTGCACAGCAGCTGTCCCCTCCAGGTACCTGCCTCCGCCTCCCTGCTCAGCCTGGGAGCATAGTTTTGTTTGGGGGCAGGTACCCTGTTTAGCCAAGACCTGGGGTGGAGGAGAGACAGCAGCAACCCCGGAAGCCTGGGGGAAAAAGTGAAGTAGTTAAAAGAAGCAGCAGCAGCAAGGTGGAGCCAGAATGCCTAAGACTGAGTCCACTTAGCTGTGTGAAAATCACATCGTTTTGCCCATGCCTTGAGTTCCCCATGTAAGGGGGAATAAACTAGGTCTATTTTAGCTTGATGCTGGTGGCTCATACTTGTAAGCCTAGATACTCAGGAGGCTGAGATCTGAGGATCACAGTTTGAAGCCAATCTGAGCAAAAAAGTTCTTGAGTCTCTTATCTCCAATTAGCCAGCAAAAAAGCCAGAAGCAGCACTGTGGCTTCAGTGGTAGAGTAAAAACATCAAGGGAGAGCTTGAGGTCCTGAGCTCAAGCCCTAATACCAACCAACCAACCAACCAACACACACAGAAAGAAAGAAAGAGAGAAAGAGAGAGAGAAAGAGAAGAAGGAATGAAGGAAGGAAGAAAGGAAGGAAGGAAGGAAGGAAGGAAGGAAGGAAGGAAGGAAGGAAGGAGGGAAGGAAGACAAGAAAAAAAAAGGTCTATTTTCTCCATGGCAGGTCTTAGCATAACAGAATTTTAGTATATCTAGATAGATAGAGATAGATAGATAGATAAAGCACTAACTGCTGGGCCTGAGGCTGTAGTAAACAAATACTTATCATTTTCTAGCATTCCTGGCCACACTGTCAGCTCGTAACCAGCAGCAATCATTAAACTGGTTGGAGCCGGCCTACCCCTGACTTATACCACAGGCATTTCTTGTGGCTCTTTCTATATATCCCCATTTGACAGACTGGGTCACTAAGGCCTGTCCAACAGGTTCAAGATTACAAAGCTGTGGCAACTCCCTGTCTATTTTCCTCCACCCTCTCAGCCCCTCCTCTTTTTTTAGTCGAAGCGGATGCGGATGCGGGCCAGGCCACAGGCCTCTGTGCAAGGAAAGTCAGTGCTGGGTTTTACCTTTCCAGCGCCTGGAGAGCCTTCCGTAACCCTTGGGGTACAGGGGAGATGGTTTATGTTATCCCTATCCGGCTCTCCCAATCCAACCAACTGCCCTGAAAGACAAGGGTTGCTGTTGCTGTTGTTAGAAACAAAAAGGAGAGGGTAGAGGTGACCAACAGAAAGCTAGGAGCCCCCAGTCAGTCCCCAGGGACAGGGCGCCTGCAGGTGAGGCCTGGAAAGGTGGCGGAGCTGCTGAACCCCCTGTCCTCCCCCAGCCTCAGACCCGGGAGTAGAGCCCTCAGAGCATATGGCTTCTGCTCAGGGTTCAAGGCCTCCTGTGGATGGGGCAGTCAGGGGCCCCGAGGACCTCCAAGGGCAGGGGTGCAGGGCAGAGGGGTGGGGGGTTTGAATCAGCTCAGTTAGAACAGTGCTCCAACTTCAGATCTTAGGAGCTGTGTGACCCTGGACAACTCGCTGTACCTCTGGGCCTCAGTTTCCTCATCTGTAAAATGGAATTGCAAGGATTGGGCCTCTCCATTAAGGTGCTGTAAGGAATTAGGCCAGCTCATTATCTAGGAAGACCCTGGGCTCATGCACGGTACCCATACCTCGTGTGGATCATGCTTACTGTGTGTGGCGGTCCAGACTCAAGTCACATGGAGAGAAAAGCTATGCAAAAGAGGGTCCACCCCACAGTTCCCTGCCCAAACAAGATGCCACGGAGTCCCTGGGGAGCCTGGCCCCTCTTCCCAAGGGAAAGCTTCTCTTCCCCAGCCAATCACATAGGGCAGAGTGCTGTATTCCAGTCTCCATTCTTTTTGTCTTTTGTCGATCATGGGACTTGAATTTGGAGCCTGGGCACTGTCTCCGAGCTCTTTTGCTCCAGGCTAGCACTCTACCACTTTGAGCC